TGTGAAGGACTGGCTATTGATGATTATGATGATTACTGAATGGTCTGTAAAATTTTGTGCGATTTCTAACGAAAACAGTGGCGCGCAAATTTCACGAAAACAGTAGCGCCGCAGGTAAGGCACTGCTTATATGAAAAAGAGACCATACCGAGACCAGAAAAAGATACCAAATTCAAAATCAAAAATACCAATTTTTAACTTCCCGTTTTGAAAATCAATAAATTGCAAAAGTAGGAAGTTATAGATTTCGGTCCGATATTGAGAATGCGAGTTTTCATTAGATCTCCATGTTTCGTTGTCCAAGGTCTATAATATCTATACTATCTATTTCCGGCTGGACCTGCGGGTTGTGTGTATGTGTGTGTGTATGTTTGTGTGTGCGTGCGTGCGTGCGTGCGCGCGCGCGCGCGTGTGTGTGTGTGTGTGTGTGTGTGTGTGTGTGTGTGTGTGTGTGTGTGTGTGTGTTGTGTGTGTGTTGTGTGTGTGTGTGTGTGTGTGTGTGTTTGTATACATGTATTTATGTATGTATGTATGTTTGTCTGTATGTATGTATGTATGCATGTCTGCATGAATAGTGGATGTATGTATGGATTTAAATAAAATTTTGTCATACCTACATAAAGATATCTTTAGAAGGAATCAACCGATCGTAATGAGGAAGATGATACGGCGTTTGAAAGTGTTCATTGAGACTTCGACCTGATCAGATTTTGAAGTCAATTGGTCAAGCTAATAAGGCGACCCCCCACTAGATGTAGTGACGACCTGGTAAGACATGCAGGAAGTCAATGGATGCAGGTGGCTCAGGACCGTGCTTTGTGACATACCTTGGGTGGTCCTATGTTCAGCAGTGGACTTGTAAAGGGCTGTAATGATGATGGTGATGATGATGGTCGAGCTGTTTTAAAGATTGAATATCTATCTTTAAAACTAACCAAAAAATAAAAACCAAAACCATTTTTTTTTTCAATTTTATTATCTAAATAACTTTCAAAATATTTTACTAATCAACTTGACTAACAAAAGATGTTTTTTGTACTTGAAAAACTGCGTCGAATGCCGCCAAGTAAGTCAAAATCAAACGAATCGTTCAAAATTTATAGCTATTTTAAAAATTTATAAATAATCTTTTTTTAAATGACTTTTAACTTCTTCGATCTATTAGTTCAAAAGCTAACAAACAAATTTTTACACTTGAAAAACTGCGTTGAAGTAAATCAAAATCGAACGAAGCGTTCAAAAATTCACCCATTTATTTATTTTTTAAAAACGGTATATTTTTATAACTTTTGAATTTTTGAGAGATCAAAAATCAACCGATTGGAACATTTTCGAGCCATGCCGCTTTTTTCGAGATTCTTACTCGGAAAAAGCGGCAATTTTCAGAGTTTGTGTTAGGACGAAAAAAGTTTTAATGTGATAATATTGAAATCAGTAAATACTATAAAAGTTATATAACTTAGACGTTGGCCACGCTAGAGCGACTGCGGTGAGCGGAGAGATTAAAATAATAATTTGGTGAATATCGCGTAGACTGTATGATGAAATACGTTAATACCCACAAAAGTTTTTAGAAATATGATAATATGCTTATAATTTTCATGTTTTCTAGAACATGCAGGCCGAGACACTATTTCGCTAATAAACGTCTCCGTATTTAAGTTTTGCATCGCGCAAAAATCAACACGATTTGATAAATACGCAAAGTGCGCGAACCCACCCTGGTCGCGGTCGCCTGACGCGCACGCCAGACGCGCCAACATGGCATCGTATTGTTATTTTTCCCGCTCATCGCAAACGCAAGACGCAGAACGCGTCTTGCTAGCGTGGCACACGACATCCAGAAGGAATGCTGAGTGTTTTCATTGATTTTGGATGAAACATAAATAAAAATTTAGCAAATGGGTTTTATAAAAATTGCATAACAAAGCGTATAGGTACGGCAATATCGTATAGTCCCTAGAGCATCCCGTTACAGCAATCATGCGCCTGGCTGCATTACTGATGGCTAGCATAGCACAACTGACGGCCTTTGTGTACTCATTCGAATGCCGCTCATATCGCCGCGGCCACGCGCTGCGTTACGCCAATAGCACCAACAAGACTCCATATTAAACGCCCCAAATTGCAGTTTAATTTATTCCGAACGTGTCTCGGCAACAGAATCGCAATAACTAGTAAAACAACACCGCCATTTATGGAGAAGGCTTGTTTGATTGCACTTGAACACGCTAAATCTAATTTTGACAGTGTATATATGTATTGTTACCTACCAATTTAATGAGTTCGCAAACATTAAAATACCTTATTAATAGAATGTAATTAATCATAAAGCTGAACTTCTTGACAGGTTTCAGAGTATTTTAATTATGGCTGCTATACAGTGAACTGTACAAAACAGACACACTATGACTATTTTATACCAAAAGCCAGTCTTCAAACGGAATTTTTACTGTCATAACATTAGTCACTGAAAAGCTCATTACACAAAAGCTTTCAACTGAAATTAAACGTTATTAAGCTTCTGTCAACTGGACTAATTACAAAGTCCTTATCAATTCATTAATTTGTAAATTTTAAAGTAGTAGTTGAAAGTCACGCAACAAATAAAATAGATAAGCAAGATGAAATACTAAATATGTCAAATCATTTATGTTTACATTTTATATATTTTCATTTCACACAATATTCTATAATTGTGAAATTAAATACCACGTAAATACTTCGAGATATTAGAGATCAAAAAGTAAATCAAGCTAAGATTGTACTCCAGTAACTTTTAATTATCATTTTGGAACTAAACTTTTCTTATACAGATTCTTTGGTGTACATTACTTTCTTAATACAACACAATCACAAGTTTATAACTTTATTACAAAGTATCCTTGATATAATTTTCTTGTAAACATTTAATTAATAGCTTATAGCATCAAATATAATAAAAATAATATAAAGAATTATCTTAATCATATGCCAAGATTGTGTAATTAAAAATGGACATCTACTACTTTTAATAACTCATGAGGTGTACATACGTACACGTTTATATGACAGTGGAAATTTTAGTCGGCAAAGGAAGTGAATTGTTACACGCATAGATAATGTAAAGTGTGATAGAAAGAATAGCGAGGGGATCCGTTTGACGTGAAGCAAGGTTCTGAACACTCCTGAAACCAAACGAGGATAGAAGAAGGTGGGAGTGAGGAGGTAGGGGGCAGCGGGGTAAAACGCTTGCAATCCAAGTAAAACTTATCCGCTATTGTTTCTTCAAGCAATGTAGCTATAAATTGTATGAGATTTGTCTGCTACAAATGTTCTTGGACAATGTCTCTTTATAAATTTAAGAGCGGTTGAACGCAAACTCCTATTAGTAGTTTTAAAATGTACAGTGAATAAATGCGATTTCAAGAAACAATTACTCTTGATAAAAATATTACATTTTTAAAGTTTTTAGAAAACAGGATGTAAATTTTACAAACACAACTTAAATTCAAAAAATATATAAGCCAAAAAACTTCGTTTTATTAAAAATATACTTCATCACCAACTTTCATCTATACCTATACTTACAATAAATTTGTAGAGAGGTCAATTCTGTACATGAAATATATTTTCAAAATAACTATCAGGGGGTGATTAGTGATCGATACTGATGCCAAAAACGCAAACAGTAAAATTTTTGTCTGTCTGTCTGTCTGTCTGTCTGTCTGTATGTTCGTTATAGAAACAAAAACTACTCGACGGATTTTAACGAAACTTGGTACAATCATTCTTCATACTCTTAGGCAGATTATAGTATACTTTTCATCACGCTACAATCAATAGGAGCAGAGCAGTGAAGGGACATGTTGGGGAAACGGGAGAAATTACTCCATTTTTTAAGCTTCCGTCGCGTGTGCAGCCTTAATGGTTAAGGCTACACAGAAATTATGTATAACGGAAAAGTTTTCCTTAAAATTATATAAAAAATATCCCACGACAGCATATGTCTATCTTTTATGGTTGACTCACAATAACACGTGTAACTCCCGATAGCTTAGCAGTTCGGAGCTTTCTGATTATATTTGTCTACTCTTACGTTTATAACACTCTCACTCATCCCTAATTAAAAAAGTTAACATTATTATCTATTCAATAAAAATGAATCATAGAAATCGATATAGAAACACCAAAGTTATACATGAAATACGCTAATAAGCCTTCACGCGTGAATACTGAATCATGCTATAAAGATTATTTTTGTGTAACGGTCGCCGCGCTCGACGCGGGAGGTATAAAAAGGCGGGGGGTCCGAGTGCGAGCCTGCGCCCTCCTTTCTGCCAAGGAGGGTCGCGTTCGTATAGGGCTTAGAGATCTCTCGTCAGATCGGTAAGCCAATCCATAAAGGTGGGTTTAGTGGGTAAAAGTCTCCACATAACCACGCAGCCGGCTGCGTGGTATGCTATGAGCATTCCCACCTCCCTCCCGCGCTTTCCGGAGGGTTGCCCATGTACGCAAAAAAAGTGCGATGCGAGCTTCATACAATATTTGGCTGTTGATGCGAATAGACGTTCAGAGTGTTCGACCTTATTGACAGACAATAATTGATTTTAACAAACCGTGCTTATCAGCGCGACTTTTAGTCTACTCTTACGTTTAATAATTTCTTTTTAGATTTCTTTGGTTGTTATTTCATAAAATAGGTATTAGTTATTTTGGTAGTGTTTAAATATTTATCAGTATTAGCTTAATTATAAATTAAACTTTTTTTTATTTAGCTGTAGTTTTAAATATGTACCTAGGTATCAAATAGGTTATTTCATTCTATTAGACGTAGTTTAGGTACCTACTTATGTATTTTTAAGAATTTAATTTTGGATTTAAGGATTTATTTAGGATCCGTTTTATTATTTAAGTAGCCATTTAGATTTTTTTAAGTGTATGGTAGCTATAGTTAGGACCTCTAACGTAGATTATTTTGTTAGGTAATTGAATGCCGTCGATTAAAAATAAAATACACAATGCCACCTAAAAAACGATTATTTTTATCTCGAAATTCGAAAGAAGTTAAGAAAATGAGAAATGTGCGTTCTCAAGAATCGGCAGAGGAAAGAGCACATCGGTTAAACTCTATGAGAGTTAGTGCCTCAACTTCTCGAGCCAATGAAAGCTCTCCAGAAAGAGAGATGCGATTAGCAGCTGACAGAGCGAGACGAGCTACATCACGGGCGTCTCAAAGTTCTTCTCAACGAGAGCTAAGGCTTACCATTGACCGAGAACAACATGTGTTATCCCGAGAAGCTAAAACTGCTTCACAACGAGAATGCGGCACTTCACAGCTGACCGCGAACGGCATACATTATCTCGCGAGTCCGAAACCTACACTGAGAGGGAATTACGTCTCACAGCTGATCGCGAACGGCATGTACTATTCTGTGAGTCCGAAACCTTTACTGAGAGGGAATTACGTCTCACAGCCGATCGCGAACGGCATGTACTATCCCGTGAGTCCGAAACCTACACTGAGAGGGAATTACGTCTCACAGCTGATCGCGAACGGCATGTACTATCCCGCGAGTCCGAAACCTACACTGAGAGGGAATTACGTCTCACAGCTGATCGCGAACCGTTTGATAAATGATAGGATGCACCATAATATTATTCGATCTCTTGAAGATGAACATGAGCATGAACAACGACTAGAGTCGGGACGTGAAATTACAATTCTTTGAGACAAGAACGGTTAATAAGTTTGTCTAATGAAAGATTAAGAATTAAAAATATTCGGTCTCTTGAAACGGATGAACAGCGAGGGGCCCGTCTTACTGCAGACAGATTTCGACATAGCCTTAATGATTTAGATGTACACATAGAATATCAATCTACAAATTCGGTGGCGTGGTCCTACAAATATAAAAGTGGGTTTGCTTATAACCTCACAATTGATTGCAGATCATCTTCTGTAATAGGCGATATGAATGTGAATGGAATGTAAGTGTAGGAGTCAGCTGGTTTCTGTTGTTCTGGAGGTAAAATAAACTTGCCTTCGTTCGAAGATTCACCAGAACCTTTGAAGTCACTACTTTTCGGGGAACACGTGCAATCTAAACAGTTCTTAGACAATATTCGCACTTATAATAGTGCGTTTCAAATGACATCCTTTGGTGCTCAACAAATCTCAGAAAGTCCTTTCATGCCTACTTTTAAGATACAAGGTAGGTATTTAATAGGATCCCTTTTGCCTGGATTCCAACCTAAGTTTTTCAAATATATTTTGTATCCGATAACAACGAACAGTTGAATATAAGAAATCAATATTTCCCGAATTTAAATACTGAACTTATTTCACAACTTCAGAACATGTTGCATCAGGTTAATCCGTATGTATGCAGTTTTAAATCGGCATTAGAAGCTCTTCCTCAAGCAGGTGATAACAATTATAAAATTGTTATAAAGGCGCTCAACTCAGGAACACCCTGGGCATTATAACGTTACATCCATGAATGAAGTTGCTGTAGTATTGGTCGACCAGCAATGTGGTAGGCGTGATATCGTTATCCGTTCCAGAGACAATCGTTCGCAACGTATTTACGAAACCCACAGGGCTTACGACAGTTTGCAATATCCTTTTATATACTCTCGAGGGGAAGATGGTTATAATTTCGCTTTGTACCAAACTGATCCGCGTACAGGCGTACCTAATTATAATAAAAAGATGTCATGCCTTCAATTTTATTATTACCACTTGCAAGTGAGACGGAATAGATTTGTATACTTTCAACGTTTTCGTGGCTTATTAAATCAGATTATTGTTGACATGTACGCAAAAATTGAAACCGTAAGATTAGTTTATATACGATCTAATCAAAGGTAGCTGCGCGATGAAGAATACGTGCACCTTCGCGACGCCATGCAACAAGATAATGATACGGTGAATATGGGCCGTTTAGTTATTTTACCCTTTTCTTTTACTGGTGGTCCACGCTACATGCACGAACGTACTCAAGATGCTTTTTGTTACGTAAGAAAATATGGACGACTCGACTAATTTATTACTGTAGCTACCAATCCCAATTAGGATGAAATCACTCGGGAGCTTATTGAGGGTCAAGCACCGCATGACCACCATGATATTATCGCTAGAGTTTTTCATTTAAAATTAAAATCAATGATAGATCTACTTACCAAAGATAACATTTTTGGAGATGTATTGTGTTATATGAATTGTGTTGAGTGGCAAAAACGCGGCTTACCTCACGCACATATCCCTGCTTTGGTTAAAAGATAAGGTTCGACCTAATGATGTAGACAGTTCAATCAGTGCTGAAATTCCAGATCCGATTGCAGATCCCGTGTTATACGACATTGTAAAAACTCATATCATACATGGTCCATGTGGTGCATTTAACGGGAATGCTCCTTACATGCAAGATGGTCGTTGCACTAAAATATAACCAAAAGCATTAGTGGATGAAACTGTAACAGGACATGATGGATACCCATTATATCGTCGCCGTTCAAGAGACAATGGTGGTTTTACTGTTGAAAAGCGAGTGTCTGGACAACAGGTTACTTTAGATAATAGGTGGGTCGTTCCGTATTCTAGAGCATTTCAAGCTCACATAAATGTTGAAATATGTAATAGTGTAGAGTCAATAAAATATATTTGTAGTATATTAACAAGGGCAGTGACCAAGCTACATTTGCGTTGAGAAATGAACATGATGAAGTTACTAGATTTCAGTCAGGCAGATATATCAGCTCTTCAGAAGCTGTGTGGTAGATCTTAAGTTTCAACATTCACGAAAGATTTCCGCCACTCATCTGGATATTCATCTTAAAGGCGGTCAACGTATATATTTCAACGCCGAAAATGTTACAGAACGATTAGAGAACCCTAGACAAACAACTTTATTATCATTCTTTCGACTTGCCAAACTGATGATTTTGCAAAATCTCCTTTGTATGAAGAAGTTCCATCGTATTATACCTACGATAAGCAGCGAGGTGTCTTTAATCGTAGACGCCGTGACAGGCCTGTAGATGGCGAGTCAGGTATTTTCAAAGAACATGTTCTTGGTAGAGTGTATACCGTTCATCCTAATAACGCTGAGTGTTTCTATTTGCGATTACATACAGTGCGAGGATCAACATCATTTATAGATTTGAGAAAAGTAGACGATGTTGTTTATCCAACTTATCATGCAGCTTGCCAAGCACGTCGTTTGCTTGAAAATGATCAGCATTGGGATGATGCTTTAGCAGAATCCACGACGGTTACGCCATTTATTTGTAACATTACTTACATTTTGTAATTTGTCAGATGCTGTACAATTATGGGAAAAATATAAAGAAAAATTTGCAGAAGACTTTCTTCGGAATATATCTCACAATGATGAAGGTGCAACTAATGATAATTTCCGTGATATTGCTATAAATCTGTGCTTATTAGCTCTTCAGGAAGACTTAACAGCAGTAGGCGGTAAATCACTCTGTGAATATGGTTTGCCAACATCAACCTCAGTCGGAGAGGTTACCAATAGGAAATATTCCGCAGAGATTGGTTACAACTTAATGGAACTGCTGGCAACATTAGAAAACGGTGTCCCAATGATGACTCCAGAACAACGTTCTGTTCTTTGCGTGTGCGAGAGTGTTCAGAATAATTTGGGAACAATATGGTTTTTAGATGCACCTGGAGGAACTGGGAAAACCTTTTTGACTAAATTAATATTAGCTTATGTTCGAACATAAACATCAAATTGCTCTTGCCGTGGCTTCATCAGGTATAGCTGCAACGTTGCTACCAGGAGGTAAAACTGCTCACACTATGTTTAAAATCCCAATTGATTTAGATCGCACGGAAAGTCCAACCTGTAGTGTTTCAAGAAGTAGCGACAAAGCTAAGGTATTACGTGAGTGTAATTTAAACATAAGGGATGAATGCACGATGGCCCACTGAAAAGGAGTAGAAACGGTAGAAGGGATATAAGACAAAATGATCGACCAATGGGCGGTATCACGGTTTTATTTTGTGGTGATTTCCGACAAACCTTACCGGTAATACCATGGGGAACCCAAGCTGATGAGGTTAGGGCTTGCCTAAAAAGTTCTTATTTGTGGCGTGATATACAATCGGTACATTTGACTATAAACATGCGAGTGAGAACTGGAGATAACCCGGATGATCGTCAATTTTCTGATAAATTATTAAAGATTGGTGAAGGTACCTATCCACAACTACACCAAGGGAAATTTATTCTGACGTCTGAGTTATGTTGTATAGTGCAATCCCAACCAAATCTTATATCATCGGTTTACGGTGACGTAACAATAATATTAAATAGGGACAATTCTTGGCTATGCGAAAGATCCATTTTAACTCCTCGCAATGACCAGATCTAAGATTAATAACAAAATACTGTCGAATATACAGGGGGAAAGCAAAGTGTTTCAATAAATAGAATGGTCAATGAACAAGAAACCACTAATTACCCGATAGAATTTTTAAATTCTTTAAATATGCCCGGACTTCCTTCTCATGAAATTTGTTTAAAAATTGGCATTCCGATTATTCTGCTCCGAAATTTAATACCACCACAACTTTTCAATGGAACTCGGCTAAAAGTAACCCAGTTGCAACAAAATATAATCGAGGCTTAAATTTTAACAGGTTGCGGTGCAGGAGTCTCGTTTCGTCTCGTCTCGTCTTTATTCACAGAATTCCCATAATACCATATATTTTCCATTTCAATTTAAAAGAACGCAATTCCCAGTATCAGTGCGTTATGCAATGACATTTAATAAGGCTCAAGGGTTGACTTTTCGTGTTGCTGGAGTAGATCTCGGTGTCAGGTGTTTCTCGCATGGTCAGTTGTACGTCGCTCTTTCCCGGGTTAGCAGTTCTAGAAATCTTTATGTTCACGTGCCGGACGGGTCAACTTTAGTTTACCCGGAAGCTTTGCGCCGAAGTACTTTTGTTCTGTAAGTACTTAAACCTCATGTGAACGTAATCTAAACAATATTACCAATATATTAATTTAATAACACACAAGGAGTTACACTCCATCCAAAGCCCAGCGACACTATAACATATATAGGAATGACGTCTTAGCAAAAGTTGTTTAGTCTGATGGGCATTTCCTGTTAAAATGAAAGATCTAGAACGTCTCGCGAATCACGTTGTTTTCCCGTCCCCGGGCTCTTAGAATTCAACATCAGACGTTTCAGATCTTCGATTTTGACGACCCCGTTGTCGCTGGCATAAGCAACAGGATCCGCGTACGAAGTCGCGGGCAGAAGCTAGTATTTAATAAAACCGGACAAGTGAGAGTAGGACTTGCACCCTGAGGATCCGTAGAAACTTAGGTAAATAAGATGTTTAATTTCATCAAAATAATTAAGTAACTGAAATTCACAAATTATAGGTGGTTATTACCAAACACTGCGGTAACCCAAAAGGTACGAGTGTATAGTAAGTCGGATTAACATACAAACTTAACATTGCGGTGGAATAAATGTCGCTTCCGATGTTACAACTGCAAATTGAAGTTTCTAATGCCAATAATTTTAATGTTATATACATAGAATACTATAATATGTATTATAGTATTCTATATACTAATATAAATATTCTGGAAACTCGTAAGAACTGCCAGGGAAACTCAAAACAGCCTAGATTAAATGCTATACGAGACGAGAATAGCTGTATTCTGAACGATGAAGTTTTGAG